TGTAATAAGCTGCTGTAGTTCACTTTCTTATAGGTCAAACTGTCAGAGCTCCATCTTGTAGCTCTCCAGGGACCACGGAAATGTCTGTGTGCATCTGTTCACACATTATTATCATTTTTATATTCCAGCGGGGGATCCAGAGAACCGCATGGAAGCAACACAAACCCCAAGAGTGTGTGTGTGTGTACGTATGTCTGTATGTGAGGGAAGGCAGAGGAAGGATGAAGGTTGAGGAGGATGCGATTATCTTCCTCTGTCATCCTGCTACCACTTCCTCCCTTCTCTCCCCTCTCCACTTCTAAAAAGCCCCACAGGTTAAAAATAAGCCATTGTTACACATACACAAAGGGACATGGAAGGGACACAGCTAACACCCTTATAGACTTTTAAGTCTCTGATAAACTTCCACACTTTTCAAAGTCTATTATTACAGAATTAAGTCAGAAATATTATATCCAAAGTAGGGCTGCAACAAATTCAAATTCAAATCAAATCTCAATCAATCAATTGAGCGTTTGGTCTATGAAATGTCAACAAATTGAGAAAAATTACCATTACAAGTTCCCATGGTGACATCTCCAAACATCTCGGTTTCCTTGACTAAAAGCACAAAACCCAAAGAAGCTCACATTACTATCGTCGTCATCATAGTAATAAAACAAGCCCAGTTCATTTGAAGACGTTTGCCTGAAAAAAATAGCTTAATTCAATAATTTTTTTTCTCAATTACCAATTGATTAATCAAATAATAATTGCAGTTCTAATCTGAAGGTAATGCTGCTGACTGTGTGCAATGAGATAACCAAAATATAACTTTCAATGACACTGAAACCTCCAAAAACGCCCAGAAGATGTCAACATCAAACCAAATAAGCACACATTTGTAAACATCTATTCTCATTCTAAATTCATAAAATTTTATCAGCATGAATAACAACTAATGCCGTCATAATGGACCGTTTGCACAGTAGCCATTTTGATAGCAGTGAACTTACAGGTGTATTAATGACAGCGGCATTCCACTTAGTGGGATTTCAAAACTATGATTACAGATGAAGAATAAACACTGTATAATAGACATTTCTTCAAACAGGCACTTTGATTCGTGATAGAAGCAAAAGCACAGGCATTAATGGCTCCATTACATTTAGGTGCCCCTGTAAACCAGATGTCCAGCATTAACAAAAATAACATGCTTGGACACAAAGCGCTGTCAAAGACAGCCTCCCTTATCTCTCATGGCTTTCATCGCAAGAAAAATAAGCAGTAGCGCTGTTGTGACGGCACACAAAGGATACCAGACAGAAACCACTTGCAACCTCTGCTGGTGCTGAACAGTAGCCTGGAGGTCATTTTCCTGCTATGAGAGATAAGTTTATAGGCATCCGGATAGAGTAAGCTTGAAGCTGTTTGGTTGTCACTAGGGCTGTCCCCGACTAAAGATGTTCCCAGTCAAGTAGTAGTAGTAGCAATATTGAATGTTGTGATATTAATTTGATTATTTAAATATATATATTTTAACAGCCGCCTGTTAAATACGGATGGTAATGATTCTGAGCGCGTCAGAACAACCAGCAAGGAGACTGAACATTCATATAATTTATGTCAACACAGTATAACATCACACAGGCCTCATTGTCCTCCACAACTGGCCAGTAGATGTGTAAAGAAAACATGTGCGATTGTCTGTGTTGTAAAATTACAACAATTGTTGGATGCGGCCCCCTACATCAGGAACGTGGCATCAGATGCAGACAAGCACTTGCTATAACAATACTGAGACCTTGAGCAAACCGTTTTTTTTTTTTTTTTTTACATTAGTATTAATTTGGAGATGTATATCTGGCCACCTGATGAGTAGATGTTCAATAATTAGGTTTTTAGCTTGTATAGCTCGATTTTTGCTGACATCAATCTGCCTGCTGCTGCTGGAATAAGAACTATGAGACTCACACATACATTAAAGGTGCTGTTAAACCAAAACAATTAGCTCAAAGTGGTTTAAAAGTACCACAAACATTAGACACATTTGTAATTGATTAAACACATTGAAATGCAACACCTAAATTTTTTTTTCTGCTAACCAAGTATGTAGCACAGTGAGCCAAAAACCAACATAACACAGATCCTGTTATGCAATGGCCACAAGGAGGTTCAATTACAGGTCAGACAGGACCCTTGAACCTGTTGTCAACATAAATAAATTAAATTAAATAATTTCCCCCTGGGATTATTAAAGTATTTCTGATTCTGATTCTGATTCTGCAGGCAGGGGGTGACTGGATAAGACGGGATGCACTGTGCCTTTAAACAACAAATGCAATCCCCCGGAAAGCATTAAAGAGACGCACATGTCTGGAACATGAGTTGATCTGCAAAAAAGAAAAATCTCATACGGTTCTGGGGCTCTGTACCTGTTTTCCACTCTGAACGAGAGCACATCTTCTGTCCCCAGTGTTAAAGTCCAGCGTTAAGTTAAGTTATGTAGAAAGGGGGCTCTTAAGACTGTCTGATCCTGTAAATCACTTATGAGAGCCAGCACACCACACCACCGGGATTTACAGCAACTGAGCTGTCCGTGTATGAATGATTCAAACTTGGTTATTTTCCCATAGCTGGACCCAAAAATAGCTCCTCTAGCTTGGACCTATGCCATGCGATGTCTTTTGATTTTTTATTTGTTTTTTTGTCCCTGGGGCTATAAAAACAAATAGACAGAGCAGAGCAGATAATAGAATCATTGCTCCCTAAACACGACGGTCAAACCATGATATGAACTACCCAACCAAACATAAGCTTTCCCACCAGTCAGCCAATGCCCATAGGCTATGTTGAGAGAGAAGACGATCAGCACCAATGCCAGCCTTAGCACTCTCCCCCACGTATCAATCAGTGTGGGAGCCAGCACGCCCTGACACAGTTCTCAGATCTGGTCAGCCTGACACCACGTTCACCACCAACGCATCTACTCTGATTCCTTTTTCCGTCCATTTCTTATTTTATCTTTCCATAGTTTCCTCCTGAGAATAAGCAAGCTATGCCTTTTTCTGTCTTTATTTTGTTTTCTTGACTTGTCACTGTTTTAAGTGTTTCCTCACTGTAAAAAAAATGGGATGCCATTCAACATTTTTCATCAATAAGATGGTTGATAAGCAGCTTGAATCCCTTACAGTAGCAACAAGTGCAATTAGTTACCTTAGTAACAATTGTTATAGCTATATAGCATAAAATGAAGGGGAGTTGCTTTTGTTCAAACTAATGGCCAAGGCTTTGGTGGTTTGTATGTGGTTTGAAATGGGGAGAGCAGGATGGGGGTTGGGACCAAAGTGGCAGCCAAAGCACCTATTAATACACTGATAGCTGCCTGGCAAGAGCAGCCTGTTCCAGTCAAAGACATGCTGGGACACTGGTGGGGTGGGGGTGATAGTTTCCCACGGGCGGACCTACAGTCAGACTGTAGAGTCCAAGAATCATTCTGAGGTATTCTGAAGTCAAGTAAGGGCCTGGTCTGAGATCGGTTTCTTGGGTGTGAGGATTACAACTTGGCAACACTAAAGGGTATTCCTGAAGACACTGAAATTGAGCCAATTGAAGATATAAACACACAAAGCAAACATGGAAATAGCATCTGCTGGCGAAATAAAAGCTGCCTTGCAAATTTTGCATGGGCTGGGGGTGGCATTAGAATAACATCAGTGAGTACTTAATAATAAGAATGCATATGAACAGAATATAGGTTTCCTTTTCTGGATGGATCAAGCCCAGCAAGTGGTATGAACTTACAGGAGCAACTCCTGTAAATCTGTTGGGTTTGCTGGTGATTCCTAACTTGTATGTAAAAGTGAATGAAAATCACTTAGGAGACATGCAAATTCATAGAGAAAACAAAGCCTGCTGGGAACAGGTTCAAGGGTGCCTTGTGTATACACCTCCATGTACCCTCCATTGTTTAACTCCATGCTGCCGCTTTTGATGTGGACTGAATCTCAAATGGAATCCAGCTCCATTTTTTTATGTGCATAGTTTTGTTAGTTCACCATAAGTCTGTAAGGGATATATGTTTTAGCTTGTTTTGGATTGATAATTCTGAGTGGTTTCATTGAAAGCAGAAACTTCAAGTCATTAATATTTAGGTTTCATACTAGTATGTACAGCTTGATTGAGTCTCGGAACTCTGCTGATGACATGAAACACTATCAGCTTGTCATTGTAAATGACTAAAGCACTGCAATATTTCCTATCTTTACTGTCACATGCCATTCACTTTTATCTCTGTGTTGACGTACTGTGACGTTCCCATATGTTGACCAAGGACTCATCAGCCATCTGTTGTGTTTTATATTAGTGGGGGAAATCACAGCGACACTCTATTCAACTCTATTCTATTTATAATTCTATTCATATGGTACTTAGAATTGCAACTGTAGAAGCAGGCAACAAGCCAGCTCAGGGTGTGACCTTCCCTCAACCTGCATTCATCCTCAATGATATACTTTACAACCCTGTACAGAAAAAAAAAACATAGTTACATTCCATTAATATTGCTGTAAGAACTTTTAGTGTGTCTGTGGTACTTAAAGTGACCTTATTATGGTTTTGTGATCATACACACAGTCCTATAGTCTTCCTATGGGAGCTTACATTCTATCTTTGGTCAGCTGTGAATTTATAGACATCTTATGTTCTGTTGAACTTTGTCCTGTACTTACACTTTACAATCCCTGTAATGCTCCTAATGTCTCTTAACTTTTCTTGTGATATAAAGTTGTTTTATAGGAGTATTGGTATTAGAATTAGTATCATTATTATAGTGACTGGTGCATTGCTGTAGTTATTTTTCCAGAGGGTAAAACTGCATTACATCCTGAGTTGTATGGACACATTCCACATGACCACATTCAGTCAAGCCTCATAAAAAACATTGCAAATTATGACGCCTGTGCTGTTCCAAGTATCTGACAGACAGGCTCTTGAGTGGAAAACAAAGACTTTGTGCTTACCTTTTCTTCGGGTGAGCTGTCAAACTGTCTCCAAACTGTTCTCCAAATATCCCCATGCTTGCATGATCCGAGCAGAGAAGGGTCTCATGCTGCTCTTCTGTCAACACTGACCAACCTCGGGCTCTCGGCTACAGCAGTCAGTTATGGCACAGTAGCAAATACACACCTTCCTGTTATCACTTTCAAAATAAAACACTTACTGACACATATTTGTTGGGAACAATAAAAAACCAAAGTGTAGTTTAAGCACTATTTTCCAGTTATTTTCTGTGAATGATTAGTATATTCATATGTGACATTTTTGCTTTGTATTAGTTTTTGCTAATGGGTCATAAAGAATATACATATTATTTCTATTGAGCACACAAGTTCAGCTTTAGGAGCACAGTTATATATTAGTTATATGTATGTTCCAAAAATCTACACAATTGTCTTTACAATTAGCCAGAAGCATCTTCAGACACTAAGGAAGCCATAAATACAGAGACTGCAGTAAACATGATTCACCAGTGCTTCACATCATTGTGATTTACAGTTTACCAGTAGCCTAACTGGCAAGAAAACTGGAAATCAGCATGGATTGGATTCAGGATCATTTGCTGAAGGCAAGAGAGAACATGCCTGGTGATATAATAAATAGATGACATGGCATGGAATAATAATCTAAGCAAACTTAACTTTTTATACTGTATTTTATTTAATCATTTTCCCGACGTGACAAATGTGATGCCTTTATTTTGATGGTAAAGGTTAACTTCTGGTATCATCCTGCTCCTCTCTGTTGGTTTGACCTAAAAAAGCTGCAGTGGAAATAATACAAAAACGGCGGTATACTATTTTGACACTTGAGCAAAGTCATTGTTTCAAAAACAGCATTTATTTTATTTTTCAACAGAAAATATCATAATCAAGGCATATTTGACAGAATTTAGCCACTGTTTTCTGTAAACTGTAATGCAATGTAATATTTCATAGATTATTAAACATAAACATTTATTATTACTAGATTATTTAGTAAGCTGACAATCTCCTGATTGAAGATCATAAAAATAATGCTTGATTTACAGCAGCAACCCATAGTCATTTTGCTGTAAAGTACAAAAGTGCCATCTGCTGTTTGCAGCTGGTGGCAGTTGGACTATAATATATAACATACATAGAAAAATCTAAAAAGGAGAGGATAACAGAAATGCACACCATTAACATTATGTACAAGCAAAGTGCAGTCCGTTTATTGTCGAAAGAGTTTTTTATATTAAATAAAATGTAAAACTGTATAAGTATACTGTTAAATGAAGTTTATTTAATTGTGTGACAGGCTGTTGCATCATGGTCCTTTATGCATGCAATGTATTTTTTAATTTAGGCAATAAAAGCACGGTACACAGTAAGATTTAATTACACTATTGTGTAAAAGACTGGCACGGTTGCAACACTGTACATCGCATATTGACAGCGACAGCGAAAGGTTACGGCAGGACGAATACAGCATAAGAAATGTAGGCTACTTCAATCACCAATAACTACAAACTACACTGACAGCACAGTGCTCACTCATGATAACCCCCCCCCCCCCCCCCCCCC